TTGGTGAGTTTTTATTAGACTAGAACATTATACTATAAAAATGTAAGTACATTGTATGATCATTAGAATAGTAGTTCAGATAAATAAAGACAAGATTGCTTAAAAAAAAAAAAGAATAAAATTTGATCCATTGGTCTGTTTTCGATAAAACAATTACCAAAATGTTCATCTTGTTGAGACGATTCTAATGAACACAAAATCATCAAAATCCAATTACAGAACCTGAGATTGGTAGAGATATGTATTACTTCGGGTGTTTTAGAATTGGTTAAACCAATTCTAAAACACCTGAAGTAAAACAAATTATCAAAGATATCAGGATCCTGTGGTTAGATTTTGGCGATTTTGTATCTATTAGAATTGTCTTACTGAGACAAAACTTTTGATAATTGTTTTGTCGAAAATGGATCTGTGGATCAAAAGTTATTCACTGTTAAATATTTTAATAGTAAATTTCAAAATTCCGATATGGCTCTATATAGAGGTATGCTATATTAAAACAATATATTTTACTATATCTATCTGGGATGATACATAATGTATAGTATATATAATACCTATGTACCCAGGTATAAATTACCAAATGTTTTTTAAAACTGCTAGAGAGTACACACCATGGGGGTATATGTGTCCAGATTTCATAGTAGTTTAGAATCATTAGAAGTTTGGAAATATTCCAGTTTTGAATACTTATCTGTTATATTGATAGCAAAAAAAAATAAAAATCTTGATTTACGTTACGTGATTGGCTAGTGACGATTTTGTGGTCATGTGATCTAGGATCGACCTAAGCCTTTTACCCGTGCCCTGAACCCTACTTGCAGCACTCAGCCCAGATCGAGATAGTAATTTAAAAATCTGTTTAAGACAATGATTATTCATTCAGATTTTGAAATCTCCTCAGAAGTTTGGTGGAAACCACATTTAGAGGAGAGTAACAATGAATATTTTATCAACAAGATAGAATTTTTTAAAAAACGAATTTTATCATTTTATCAGAAATGGAAAAAGACGACAAGAATTTATGGATCGGATATATGAACCATCATTGTGAAAAGTACTTACTTGAGTGTATTTCAACCGAAACTGATATTAAATACGATGAACTACAAAAATTATCAGAAAGTTGCTGGTATTTTTTGTATTAAGAAGGTCATAATCGCAACGGTATTTTTCCCAGAATTGTCTTTGGATGAATTTACACAAGATTTAGTAAAACGTTTACATAAAGATATTGGGAAGGAAATAATTGAAAATGCTGGAGAATATAGAACGATTTACGTGAAACCATATCAAGAAGATTTTATGTATATGGATCCGACTTTGATAGAGGATAAGCTTGAAGAATTGCTCAGTCAATGTAGAGAAAAATTCAAGGACGAGTTGAGTTTGGAGGATGCAGTTAAATATGGAGCTTGTTTTCTTTCTCAATTTTTATTTATTCATCCATTCAGTAACGGTAATGGTCGTGTCGCAAGACTGTTGTTGAGTTATCTTTTGTCAAGATACATTATAGTACCGCTTTCACTGTATACCGGACAAAAAACTAGAGAAATATACTTACAATGTTTGAAGGATGCACAATGGAGTTATGAATTACGTAGCCCTAGTACTTTAGCGAAATTTATTCTTGAATGTATTTACAAAACTTTATACGATATTTGTGTTACTATGGATATTGATATATCCACAAAAGTTCCACTACATTCTCTATAAAGTCACATAAAAAGGGACCGTGTAGTGGAACTTTTGAAACGCTCAAATTTATTATAGTATATTGGTGTCTATATTGAACCTTCCTAAAAAATTATTGGAACTTCGATCTATAATAAAAATGCGTCTACCCCATTTTCCCACTAATTAAAAATAATTTAGCGTTGTTACGTTTTACAATATGTATATCATTGTTTAATCAGAATAATCTATACTATATACAAGAAATAAACATAATGGAAAATTGCAAATTGCAATCGACACAATGCTTTAAAGCTTGGTGATAGGCATGTGATAAATGGAAAACAACACATGATGGAAAAAGTAGAAATAAGAACTATTAAAGAATTTCAACTAGTACTGTACAAGCCTTTTAACAAATTGGATTGCAAAAGAATAGTGATAATAAGTTTTTAGCAACTAGATTAGATGGTATAAGATACTATATATATGTAAATATATAATATAGATATGATAAATTTTGCGATACCGTATAAGCGCGTAATAACGCACATGGGCGTTATTTCGAAATTTAGATTTTTTTTAAAAATGGCGTATTTGACTCAAAATAACGCCCATGCGCATCTCAAAATAACGCGCCCCTCCATATGTGCCAGATTATTATTCAAGAAAGTAGTTGAATTTTTTTTTCAAAATTAGCATAATGATTTGAATTATCGCGCATGTGCGTCCCGAAATAACGCGCAGGGGCTCGAAATAACGCGCCCCTGCGCGTTATTACGCGCTTATACGGTAGGTACAAAATAATGCTCAGAGATGTACTGTAAATTCGAATTTTGGCCAGAATTAAGTTTAATTCGGGCTATTGTTCAAAATAACGCCCTTGGGTGTTATTTTAAGCTTATACGAGCAACTCACGGAATTATTAAATGTCGCAGATCATAATGAAATCGGATTAAAAATGAAACTGGGGACCTTTCTTGCTCATTTTTAAAGCTTATAAAACCCATTTATACTCTTTTATTAATAAAACTAACTCTAAACCCTAACCCTAACCCTAAAAAATGTCCCCCAAAAAATTTTAAATTTTTCTAAAAAAATAGAAAAATTTCATTTTAATCTGATTTCATTTTAATCTGCCACATTAAATATTTCAAAAGTACAATCAGACCTCGTTATAGCCACTCTTGATATAGTCACATCCTTGATATAATCACGATATTTTTAACTCGAGCTATTATAAAAATAAAATTTGGCTTTATATAGTCACAACTTTTTATAATCACCAGATTCTTGTTTCCCAAGCTGGTGATTATATTGAGGTTTGGCTGTACGTATATTTTAGAAATTTAAAAGTTAGAAAGTTAAAAATGTCAATTGGAAACACAAACACAAATGAATATATGTTGGTATCTGATGGATTTAGTTCTATAAGAGATAAGAATAGTAAACTTACAAACGATAACACGTCAGAAGCTTGGCGTAAGGCATGTGGCCCTCAGAGAATAACACAAAGATAGACAAGTATAAATAAGAATGCCCTTTTAATAGATTAGATCATATCTAAAAAAAAAGTGATATTTTTGACTAATGGTTAAATGGAAAACGACGTGTAGATTATAAAGGTGGATGGGATGGCCGAGTTAAGTTATGACAACTACCGTATAGACCCGAAATAACGCGTAGGGGTGTAATTTCAAATTTCGGCCTAAATTAGGCTTAATTCGGGCCAAGATTCGAAATAACGCCCCTGTGCGTTAT